ACATCCTTAGACTCTCACTGGAGATTTTGGCACGTCTCTGGCCCGTTGGGCTGGCGAATGCCATTTCGGTGTTGTTACGGGGGCATTCGCCGAGCGCGTTCCACTACTCGCAGAGTGCCTACTCGCAAACGTCCGAAAAACACGTGGCTGCTTCGATGTAATTTATCGTAGATCCCCCCCATGGGGATCCAGGCCATTTGCCATTTGCGAGTAGTGACTTTGCGAGTAGTGGAACGCGCTCGTCTAGGCATGGGGGAGCCATTGGTGAGCACGCAGAGCGGGCACGCAGATCTCCCAACCGGTGAGTGCTGGGGGTTTGGCCTGGACGCGCTGCACACGTGCGTGACCGAACATCTTGGCCTGTCTTGTGGCCCTCTCGTGGGGGTCCCGGGGCCGCGTGGGGGAGTCTTGGGGCTGTCTTGGGTCAGTCTTGGGCCCGTTTTGGGAGGCGTCTTGCAGGGGTTGGCTGGGAGCTCCCTGGTGCCATTCGGGGCCGCGTCGTGGCCATCTTGGGGGCACATTTTGGACCGTCTGGGAACCTTCGGAGGATTCCCCAGACATGCTCGCGCCGGGAGAGGAGCAGAACGGGAGGTTTCGTGCAATGTTCGGCCTCCAGGGGCCTTCGCCATGCCTGGGGACCGTCAGAAAAGGACTCCGAAGCCGGTCCCAGGGAATGGGTCGGGACTTCTTCGGGACCGCGTATTGAAAACATCAGGACGACGCACCCAGACCCTGTCGGAGGCGTCTGGGGGCGACGAGGCGGGACAGCAGCACGTTTTGATAATTGGTGTCTGGGCTCCCTCTTGGGAGCCATGTCGGCCTTCCTGGAGTCTCTTGGAGCCTCTTGAGATATTGAGGCCTCTTGAGCGTGTTGGAGCCCTTCTGGTGCTGTCTTGGATGGCGCCTTGGGCACCAAGGGGGCGTCGGAGGGTGGATCCCAGAGGCCCTGAGGACCTCGAAGGTGCGCTGAGGAGCTAGTCGAGGAGCCTCTCCTCCCCTCGCATGGGATTTTGGACCCCGGGGGAGACTCAAAGAGGCGCGCCATTTTTCGGGCGCTCCACTTTTCTGCTTCACAGTCGTGATGCGCTCCGTTTTCCGTTTCTCTTGGCGCAATTGCCGAGGAGTTGTTAATCGCGCATTTTTGTGCCCACGCGTCCTTCAAGTTGGGCTCTGCTGGCTGGCTGGGAGAGGGAAAGGGTGATGAGGACATCCGAACATCTAGCACTCTCTCTCACCCTGAGCAAGCGGTTCAGACGCTTGCACGCGTGCGTGATACATATTTGTACGCATTGCTTTGGCGTCCGCACGCGTGTACGCATGCCTGCGCATACATCGTGTGCACACGAGCATGGCAACATTGAATATGCGCGTTCGCGCGTGCGCGCGCAGGGACAATATATTCATGCGAAATCTACGTGGCCCTTGCAACAACGCAAGGCATCGTGCAGATCGGGATCCAGTTGATGTGCTTCGTTGTTACCGTTTTGAGAGTGTTGCTGAGTCCAGTTTTTTTCAAGACAGTTCTGAAGTCATGGATTCGTATGCGTAGACCTGGGCTCGCGATGCACGTATTTCTTTGTGCCGCGCTAGCAGTTGTGCTCCATGATTCGTTGTGCCTTGGTCATGAGACATTCGCGTATCGCCCCTTTGCAGCGACGTGCCAGCCTCCGCACCTAGAGATGGCCGCGCCACCACTCATATGTACGCCGTATCGTGATCGTTTTCCGATCCATTCGGGGGCCTCTGATGGGCGCTGCGTCGCAAACAGCGTGTTGCTGCAGACCGGAGGACAAGTTCCGCAGCTTTGCCATGCAACAGAGCACAACTTGATCATGGAGTAGTTCGCGCAGAGACGTTTGTCAGACGTATTGATGTGATCATCGAATTCTGGCATGTTTTTCAGTCCCGTGGGGCAGTCACGTGCTTCTCAGTTTCTATGAAGGAAGGTTGCTTGTTTTACAAACGCATGCATACGTACAGTGCCAATTTTGATTTCACACGAACCAGTAGGCTCGGATTTTAAGCCGTGCTTTGTGCTGGCAGGACGCTGCTCGCCATCCATCAGCCGATGTGGCTGCTGCAACGCTGGCAGAGGCACAGGCGAGGCCATTCCGAAGTTGCGCGATCGGATAGTGGACGCGTATGCAAATAAAGTTATAATGGTTGCTTTTTGGTGCCCTGGATCGTCGTCTCTGCACCCAGGGGGCAAGTTCTGGAGGACGCAGCCAGGCCTCAGAAATGGAAGGGAGGTCAAATGAAGTGCAGACGTGCCTTGAGTTCATCAGTCGTTCCGCAAGCAGTTCGGAAGGCCCAGCTCTTGACATGTATCGACCAAGACCTTGGTCTGCCTTGAAGGCCAGTGGCATCCAGGGTAACCGAAGGAATCGGAGACCAGCTGGTGTGTTTGCTGCTCTCTGGGGGTCCAAGTGCACTTACAGGGTCAGGCTGGCTGGATTGAGGTAGCTGCAATGTGCTGAGGGACGGTGGTTGCATGTCGTCTCCTCCCTCAGAATTCGAAGTCATGCTGTTTTGATGATGCCTGATTGGCTGCTTAGGTTTTCCCGAACGGCGACGTTGATCATCTTTTCCATCTGTCGCCAGAGCCTATCCCTATCCACCGCCTCGGTGTCGTGTCTCAGGATCTCGAGGACCTCTCGAGGAGCGGTGGATTTGGATGAGTGCCTGTCTAAGAGGGCGGGAAGGGCTCTCCATACACCTTAGGCGATGCTTAAGAAAACTTAAGTTTTCGGCCAGAGTCTCGATTATTCTTACTGTTTCAATGTAAATCCTAAGATTTTAATAGAAATGCTGGGTTTTTATTCAAGTTCTGAGACTATGAATTTCTTAACCCATGATTTCTTAAGCATTTCGCAGGGTGTACCCACCGCTCCACCGCTGTCCCCAGGGCGGGGCTCCAGCAGATGCGGATGTGGACGTGGATGCTCCACGGAGGGCGCGCCAAACGCGGCCGGGTGTTCGAGGAAGCGAAGAGGCGGCGGAATTCCGAGCGGTCGCCGACGGAGACGAGACCAGGGCGGGGTCTGTGAATAGAACCCGTGTAATACCCTCATATATACTCCTTATCCTCACCTCTCCTGCGCCTGGCCGTTTGGGCTCAGGTATTGGGACAGATCGATCAGACCTTTGATCGTGCAGGAGGGAAAGACATCCATCTATCCCTCCTTCCCTCTACCAACGGATCAGGGGTTCTGTACCCTTGTACTTCAACCCCATACACAGGGTCCGCCAAAGGAAATCCGCTGAAGCACAGGCAGGACCCCCCCCCAAAAGTGCCCGCGATTCCTCTTGGTCGGCTGCGTCGTTGTCGGCTGCAAAAAGGGCATAAACGTGAACTTTCGGGGGTCCGCGCGGATTTCTCTTGGATCGGCGCTGGACTCCCCTCCCTAGCGCGCGGAGCGCGCCAGAGGCAGCGCCTGAGGCGCCGCCAGGGGGCCCCAGCGCCGATCCGCTAAATCTGGGTGGACCTCCGAAAGTTTATGTTTATGTCATTGTTTGTTCCTCTATCCTGCCATGTCCAGGACTTCTGGAGGTGGCCATTTTCCCTCCCGCCTGCCCCGGCCAAGGTGAACAGCGCCTGGCCTTCCGTCTTGAGGGACGCCTCCGAGGTCGGCGCCTCCACGCCGTCGACGGCGGACTCCGACGGCGCCTCGCAGAGGAGTCCGCAAAGGTCGCGGCAGAGCTATGGGGAGGAGCAGGATTATGATAATGATGATGCTGCTGCTGCTGCTGATGGTGGTGGTGGTGGGGCTGCTGCTGCTGCTGATGGTGACGATGACGATGCTGACGATCATGCTGACGATGATGACGAGCATGATGATGCATGGTGGTGATGATGCTGATGATAATGACGCTGATGACGCTGATGATGATGATGATGATGATGATGAGGGGTGGTGGTGGTGGTGGTGATGACGACGATGACGTCGATGACGATGCCGATGACGAAGAGGACGAGGAGGAGGGGGACGACGGCAACGACGATGATGATGATGAAGACGATGATGATGATGATGATGATGATGATGATGATGATGATGATGATGCTACTGATGATGATGATGATGATGATAATTATGATGGCTTTTGTCGGTGAGAATGATGATGACGATGATGATGATGATGATGATGATCACGATGATAATGATGATAAGGATGATGATCAATGATGCTTATGATGCTGATGCTGCTGATGATGATGGTGAGATGATGATGGTGATGGTAATGATGATGATGATGATGATGATGAAAATGACGATGATGATGACGATGATGATGATGATGAGGATGACGACGACGATGGTGATGATGATGATGACGATGATGATGATGATGATGATGATGATGATGATGATGATGGTGATGGTCATGGTAGGCGGTGGTGGTGATGACGACGATGACGATGCCGATGACGACGATGACGACGATGATGCTGATGATGCTGATGATGCTGATGCTGATGATGCTGATGATGATGATTGCTGATGATGTCGATGATGATGCTGATGATGATGATGACGATGATGATGATGATGATGATGATGATGATGAGGATGACGACGACGATGGTGATGATGATGCTGATGATGATGATGATGATGATGATGATGTTGCTGATGATGATGATGATGATGCTGATGATGATGATGATGATGATGATGGTGATTCTGATTATGATGCTGCTAATCATGATGGTGATGGCGTTGATGAAGCTGCTGCAGCTGCTGACGACGACGGTGATGATACTGATGATGATGATTCTGACGATGCTGCTGCTTATGATGATGCTTTTGCTCATGATGCTGATGATGCTCATGATGGTAGGATGATGCTGCTGCTGATGATGCTGATTATGATGATGAGGCTGATGATGATGACGATGATGATGCTGCTGCTGATGATGATGTTTGTGATACTGATGATACTGATGATGATGGTGGTGATGGTGCTGGTGGTGACATGATGATGATGGTGATTGCGATGTTTGTGGTGGTGGTGATGATGGTGCTGATGATGGTGATGATGGTGATGATGATGATGATGATGATGATGATGATGGTGATGGTGATGGTGATGGTGATGATGATGATGATGATGATGATGATGATGATGATGCTGCTGCTGCTGCTGCTGCTGCTGCTGATGATGATGGTGGTGGTGGTGGTGGTGGTGATGATGATGATGATGATGATGATGATGATGATGATGATGATGATGAGAGGAGAACGAGGAGGATATGGAGAATAAGGATCTGTACATACATATCGAGATAGAGAGATACCGAAGGAGGCGAAGGGGGAGGGCCAGGAGAAGGGGTACCAGCAGGAGGAGAAGGAGGAGGACGGGAGCGAGGTTGTGGAGGAAGAGGAGGAGGAGGAGGAGGAGGAGGAGGAGGAGGAGGAGGAGGAGGAGGAGGAGGAGGAGGAGGCGGAGGAGGAGGAGGAGGAGACGAGGAGGAGGAGGAGGAGGAGGAGGAGGAGGAGGAGGAGGAGGAGGAGGGACCCAAGTCCCCACCCCTGCTGCGGCTGCTGTCTTTCCTGCCTCTTTTCGGTGCTCCCCCTTCACCAGGGGGCTCGCGGTCGACATCGCGCGGGCCGCACGGGGCGCGCTGGCTGCGAGGCAGCCGCGGACGTCCGGTCCGGAGGCTGTGGCTACGGAGGCAATCGGGGATCCATCGGCTACACGTCGGACGGGTCCAGGACGAGGACAAGCCCGTGCCAGAGCGTTCCGGGGCGCTCTCAGGGCGTTCCAGAGCGCTCTGAGAAGGCCGTGGCACCCGAGACATCCTGCAGATCCGCCGGATCTCAGAGATTCTCGAGTTGTCTATACCAGGTTTGATCTTCGTCCTAGCTTCGTCTTAACACGTAAGAGTGACCTTTCGCCGGAGTGGCCTTTGGTGCGGGCCCAGTGGGGCCCCCCGATCGCTGAATGCGATGCGGTAGCAGCGGCTTGCGGGCCTGGTGGTGTCCCCAAGGGGCCCGCCCTCAGGCCGCGCACCAAAGGTCACTCCTGCCTAGGGTCACTCATGCGTGCAGCCGAATCATTGGCTCTGGGGCGACCTTGTCCCTCAACATCCACTTCGTCCTCGTACTTGCAGGAAGTCAGAGGAGGAACAGGTGCAGATACCGCTGCTCTTGCCTCGTTCTCGCCTGTTTGGGCCTCCCGGGAGGCCCTCGTCTCCAACGCTGGACTGCACCCCTGGAGACAGAGGTCCGCGGAGTAGCGGTATCGGTACCTTTTGGTTTCCCAAGGGAGCTCCAGAGACCAGCACAATGTAGAGAGATTCTGAAGAGGCATGTAGGTGTACGGTCATCGCGCTGCACTGCAGGGCACCACATCGGACCTGGGGGGGCATTGCAGGGCACTGGGCCACCAAATCAGGTTCTGGGGTACCCACAGCACCATTGCATGACCCCAGCGTATTATGGGCCACCAAATTTGAGCCCGAATTGCAGCACACAGCAACGCATGGCATCATTGCACGACACTGCGTGTCACCACAGGATTTATGATAGGCCACTGTTCCCGATTTCGTTCATGCCGGCTTGTACCCACTAGGGCAACAAACACGCGATACTCACAACACAATGGTATTGGGAAGGTCTTACGGCTGGTGCCGCCGACCCTGTATGCGGGATCCCCCGGGACCTGACCCAGGCACCGCCCTCTCCCCCCTCTCTTCACCGGTCCCCCCCTCCCCCCCTTTCCCCCCCCTCTACCACTCCCCCCCCTCCGAGACTCCCCCCCCCCTGCGGGGAAGGGATCAAAGGCAAGGGGCTTCCCTTCGACCGAACTACGACGTTCCTCAATTTCCTTCTGGCTGGCGGTTGAAGGGGAGGGTTCAGGGAAGCGTAAGGGAGCGGCGACGGCAACGGCAACGGCGACGGCGATGACGACGACGACAACGACAACGATGACAACGACGACGACGGCGGCGGCGTCCACGACGACGACGACGAGTCAAACGGAACAGTGTCTCCCGCACGCCGACAGGGTCGGGCCACGGTTTCCGACTTCGTTCATGCCGGCTTGTGCAACACGCGGCACGCACGACGCCACGGTATTTCCAGGCGCCGCAACAGTGAATCATCCCAGACTTCGGAGCACTGCGCAGTGCACCACAGCGCTTATGCACGACACTGGACAGTACAACCTCGGACTTCCTGGGCGCAGCGCGCTGCACCTCTGGCGCCACTGATGTTCCTGCGCTCTTGCCTGATTATTGACGGTTGGGGGTGAGGCTGTTCGATTGTTTCTCCTCTTGTCAGGGGCAAATCCGTGGTCAGCTCTGTTGGAACGCTGTTCAGACCGCTTGATCGAGTTCAGAGAACAGGGGTCGACTGCGCGGGTCTCCGCGCGTAAGCGCCCTGCCTGTCTGCGCAGAGCGCCGCGCTAGCTGCCTGCGTAAGCCCTCGTGTAAGGTCAGCGTGTCTTCTCGCACGGGACCCCCTTCTTTTCGTCGCTCCCTCTCATTTATCATGCAGCCGCTGGCCGGCGCAGCCCAGGCGACCAGACCCATCGACACGTCATCTGTTCGCAAGAAGGCGCGCCGTTTCCAGCGATCGCCGCTTCCCTTCAATCTGTCCTTGCTCTGCGACAATTCGTTCCTTCCTTCTCCGTCTTCATTCTCTGTCGTCACTCTCCCGTTTTACAGATGACCTCAGTTCTGTCACAAGCCAGTCGTTCCTTTTCGAAAGATGATGTCTAACCGCGCTCAGCCATTCCCCTTCTGGCTCTTTTCCGAAACGCATTGACGACACGTCTTGCCGCGTGTGGCCGCAGGTATGCTTGAGAGTCACTGCTCTCAAATGCGACAGACGAGCGAGTCGATACTGGCAAAGAGATGCTCATTCCAAAATTGCCTTCACATTCACTTTGCTGCCTCGCTCTCGGCCCTGTCCATCGCTTCGATCCCTCTCTTTGTCCTCCATCCCCGCTGCCACCTCGCGCCCGCGAGCCGCTGGACTGTGGTGTCGCCTTCGGTCCCATCGGTTTCTCATCGCCGCGTCCTTGTGCCCCTGCGACTGCCGCCAGACCGAGTGGTCAGAGACTGTCTCAGGCGTCCTCTGCGCTGCTCAAGGGTTTGCGCAACGGCTCGTTGAGCCGCATCATCGACGAGAGTGAGGCGCTTTCTCTTGTGCTAGCCTCTCTCCTGTACTGCCTGCCCTGCTTCCGAGAGGCAGGCCGTTCGAGTTGGCGGGAAGAGGAGGGGCACGAGTCGCTTGGGCCTTCCTCTTGCCGGCTCTCGCGGGCTGCCACAGGGGATGCCGCCCATGCGGCCCTTGCCGCCGCCTAGGTGCGTGCCCTGGTGTCTTCGTGGACATGCGCCGTGCATGCGTATCTGCAGAGTTAGCTTCAAGTCGGACGACTACACCGAGGGTACCGTAGAGTTGAGCGCAGCTTGAAATGCGTATAGACGAGCGCGAAGCCATCGCCAGCACACTCCCCCTAAGATGCAAAGCTGAGGAGGTTGATAGGAGACGACGGCAGTGGACATCATCGGTGAATACATCGCGTCGCTTTCTCAGCTTTGTATCGCTGGTGGGGGGGGGCGGGCGGGGATGTTAGTCGGCTTTGCGCTCGTCCTCGTGCGGCGACATATTCGGTCAATGCCACGTGGGCGCGCTGCCTTGTTCTAGTTTCCTCTGCGCCCTGAGCGGCGCCATCTTCTTCGCAGTGCCGCACAGTCAAAATCTTTGGTACTGGGCGAGTAGTGTGCCCACACTGGCAGGAGCTCCGCCACTTGTGCTAAAGTTTGCTCAAGTGGTCGGGCGGCATCATTTCGGGGTTGCCATGGCGGGCGTCGTAACATGAGTTCATGAGTTACCGCTGCGCGCGGTACTGGTGCAAGCCAAAGCACGGCCCGTCGATGTGGGGTGCGTCAGTGCTTTGCACGGCATGACTCTGGAATGCTGGACAATAGTTCGCACCCCTGGTGGCACTAGCATTACTGGAAATTCCGTTTTGGGGCCTTGCGGCGAGCATGCCGAAAGATTGGTCTTGATGGCTCTGGATCTTGACTTGTAATCCTCAACGCTTCCATTCCGTCCAGTTGGCATATCCAACAGATCCTTGACAAGACACCCCCCCGCCAGAATTGCATGCCCAACGCTCAGTGGACAGCCCAAATGTTCCTTCCCAGCAGACGAAGCAACTGGGAAGGGGTCGGTCCCTTGCCCCCTTCCGCGTCCGTCCTCCCTCCTCCCTCCTCCCTCCGTCTTACTCCCCGCCTCGGCTACGTGTTTGGCGAAGCTGCTCCTGCTTGGGCCCTTGTTGAAGGCCAGAGAGGGGAGACCGCAGCTCTACATCAGAAACGTGGTAGATGACATAGCGCTGCAGGCGTGTGGAAGGGCGATCCAGGTTGCGTCGGTTCTCAGCTCGGGTGTCGAGTCGCTGCTCGGGGACTTCGATCGACTTAACCTTCCTGTGGCGGTGAAAAAGACCAAGTACATCTGTAGTGCTGAGGTGCAGAAGCTTCTCCAGGGGAAATGGCGCATCCCGCCCTCGTCGCGAGTGGACACGGCTCGAAATCTGGGAACGGATGCGGCGTCGGGTTCTCGTCGAAGAGTTGGGATAGCCAGAAGCAGGTTTGCGAACGCAAGATCTCGAGCTAGTAGGCTTCAGATATTTCGTGATGCAGGGGCTGAGGTAGGCCTCATCCAAAGAGTCGGGGCCACCGCTGCGGCCCTGTGGGGGAGCAGTGTGATGGGCATCCCCCCATCAGCGATGCACGGTCTCCGAGTGTCAGCTGCTCGGAGTATCGGTCGCCTCCCCAAGGGCTGTAGTCTAGGACTCAGGCTCCATTCGTTCAGGATGGGTGTGCTGTGTGATCCCTTGGTGGCCTACACGGGGCACGTAGTGTTTCAATGGGCCACGGCTGTTTGGGATAGTTTTCCTTCGAGGCTGATCCTGGGGGCGACGATGGATGCGGCTATGGAAAAACTGGCGCGTTATCGCCACCCCTGGAGGGTCGCCTCGTCGCCTACGGACGTTGTTTGCTTTCCCTGGACAGGATCGGCTGGAGGTTTTTAACCAGCACCAGGCTCCGCGATGATTTAGGTTCGGTCTGGAACCTCAGCCAGCTCTCGCCCTGTGAGGTCAGGGAACTAGTGCACGAGGGGGCTACCAGAGCCTCCGACAGGCTTGCGTTGGAAAGTGTGGGGCGCCTTGGGGGCGAGGGCCCTCAGAGGCTCGATGGTGTTTTTCCTGTGTTTTGGACCGGCCTTGGGACGCTCCTCAGGGGCAAAACCAAAGACTGGACGGCCCATCACCAGCGGGCGCTGCGCTCGCTAGTGTGCAATGTGCATTGGCCGCAGGCCAGAGTGTATGGGCACGGGCTGCACAGCTCTGATGCCTGTCAGCTTTGTAAGGTGTCTCGGGGGACGCTGTGGCACAGGCAGTACGAATGTGCAGCACACAGCAGCGTCAGAAGGGACGCTGTTTCCCCCTGGCTGGCTGTCCGTGCTCGGCGTGCCTTGGAAGGTGGGGAGGACGTTGGGGAGCGGTTTGCGAAATGTGTGATGCCCAGCCCCTTGGCCTTTATTCCGCGTGTAGAGCCAGAGACCACGATCAGGTGGGTGAATAAGCCCGCCAGTGGATTCCTCTCGGGGTGCATCTTTAGCGACGGTTCGGCCTTGTGGCCCTCTCTTCCAGGAGTCTGCAGAGCGGGATGGGCTCTCGTGCAGGTAGATCGGCTGGGAAATGTGCTGCATGCTGCTTGCGGTCCTGTGCCGCTCAGCTTCGGCCCCCGCCAGACGGCCAAAGACGGCGAAGACTTCGCCATTTACATGCTCACACAAGTTGGCATCGCTCCGTTTGAGCTGTATCTAGATTGCAAGGCCACTCTAGACACCTTGCTCGGAGGCCCAGGGTCGGGGGCTGAAGCGAGGTCCCCGAGAGGCCACATGTGGAGCCCGTTTTGGGCCGCCTTCGAGGGATGCGACATCCAGGCCCGCAAGACTCTGGCCCATGCTTCCAGGAATGACATTGAAGCTGGTCGCACCACGGTCTGGGAGAAAAAGGCCAACTCGAGTGCGGATCAGTATGCGGAGCTAGGGGCAAGGATGCATGGAGTTGATGACTCCCATGCACAACTTTTTAGAGGTTTCAAGGCCCTGGTGGCCGAACAAGGGAGGTGGGCGGGTAGGCTGGAAGTTTTGATGGCCACCAGCGGCCAGAGCAGGCAGGACACGGTCGGGCTGCAGATACCTGACCAGGAGCTGCCTGCCGAGCCCACGCCCCCTCCCGAACTCGCCGATGAGGAGGAGGAGGTTGTCGGTCCGTCGAGTGTCGTTGGTGCGGAGGAAGGAGTGGATGCATGCTGGGCCGACGAGGCCCGAGTCGCGTTCTACTTTAGACGGCATGCTTTAGTCCGATGCTCGATTGTGACGCCTTCTACGATAGGCGACAAAGTGGTTTTCTGTTTTCGGTGTGGGGGCTACACGTCGGGGCGTCTGGGCCGCACCCTCCTGGAGCGGTGTCTCGGGAAGCCCGCCAGCCCAGGGATCAGGACCCAGCTGAATCGACTCCGAGCTGGAAAGCACCCACACTATCGTGCCACCACGAAATCCCTCGTGCTCGGTCCCTCTGGCCCGTTGAGCTCCCAGGAACAGGTCGAGATCGAGGGATTAGTGGATTCATGTGAAGCAGTGGCGGCGAGCTCGAGCTCGTCTGCTGCTGATGGTTTTAGTCCAGGACTGCCCTCGCAAGATTCGGTTGTTGCGGCCTTTGGGATTCTGGAGTCTGAGCTGCCGAGGGTGAAGGAACTCGGGCAGTGTCGGGCCGTGGGCGGTTCAGACGGTGAGTCTGAAGCCTCCGACGGCGAGCTCTTCTGACTCTGAACCTGCCTTCAAGGCCGACCACCACCTTACTCCCCGCCTCCGTCCTGACGTCTGCCTGCTCCGCCGTCGTCCTCTTTGATCTAGCAGTTCTTAGATCGTGCACCTCATTGTGCAGCTCTTCGACGCTCAGTTGGCTCCGAGGAAAAGCGCCCTTGGCGTCAAGGCGCGCGTGGTTCGGGGGCGGGGCGGCTCGGTGGGCGCTCCATCCCTGGGGGGGGACACGGGAGGGGGTCTCGGGGCCTCCCCCGACGTGGAGCCGCGCCCAAGTTCCTCCCCCCACGTGGGTTGAAGTCCAGCCACCTGTGCCGAAGCTGCTCGGGCAGTGAGGGGGCTGGGGGGGGGTGGAGCCGGCTCCCTCTGGCTTTGGAGGCCTCGCTCGGTGGGCCCTCGGTCGCCGGTGGTCGCTCGTCGTTTCGTCGCTGTCGTTCCTTTCGTCGTCGGCGGCTTTTGGGGCCGCCCTGCCGTCGGGGTGTCGGCGGCGTCGCTGCCTGTCGTCGCCGTCGTGGCGGCGGCCCTGGTGGGCCGCCGCGGGGCCGCCGCGCCAGCCCTCGTCGTCTTCGTCGGTTCGTGCCGTGCGTCGTGTCGTGTCTTTCTCGTGTCGTGCTGTCGGATCGTTGTCGTGTCGTGCTGTCGCTTTTGCCTCCGGTCGGTCGTCGCGTTCGCTTCCGTTCGGGTGCCGCTGCTTCCTCGCCATCTCTCTCTCCCCCCTCTTGTTTGCCTTCCCTTTTCTTCCGTTCTCCGTCTTCTTCCACGCCAATTGGCTCCTCTTTTCTTGTCTCTGCTTCGCTTCGGCTTCGCCTCCCCAGGTTCGTCCCCCGTTGCCCTTCGGCCGGACGCTACCGCGAGCGCCCCAGCGTGCCGCTCTGCGGCTGCGTTTTAGACTTAGCACGCCCCCCCAGCATGCTCTAGGCGTCCATTGGAGGATCTCGACCGCTTGCGACCGGCCCCGACTGCGCCAGTCTGCGCCTGCGGTGCGACCCGCGGAGGCAAAAAGAGGAGGAGGAGGAGAAGTACCAGTGTAAACCCGAGAGTCATCAACGATGTTGGGATAAACCTTCCTTCCAAACTCCCTCTTCACAGGCCCCTACAACGGTTCATTCCCACTGAGGGAGCTGCCTTGTTGGAAGACAACCGTTTGCAAACTCTGAATCATGCCAAAACATTGTTCTTGGGATTCTAACGCCCCGGATCAACCTGACTGTCGCGTCTTGACGATCCTGAGTCGTGCCAGAACGCCGTCCCTGGGACTTGAACATCGCGAAACAACGTAACTGCTGCGCCCTCATAATCCTGACCCCTTCCAAAACATCATGTGTGGTACGCGGATCATGGAAGTCCGTGGAACTTTTGCAAATGTTTAAAAGAGCGAACGTGCGCGGCACTGAGGCGATTACCACATTTTGAAAAGGAACCGCCCCCCAATCCGTGAAATTCTTGCATGATTTAAAAACGAATGTACGTTGCGCTAAAGCGAGAACCACATTGTGAAAACGGGCCGCCCCCCATTTGTGAAGCTGGTGCCAACTTTAAGCTTCAGGGTCATAAGTGGTGAAAAGGTCTCAGACGAAGCGCCCAGCCCGCCCTAAAAATTGGCTTCGGGGTGCCACAGGGAAAAGTTGTTGATAAGGAAAAGGAATGGAGGTTGCTGAAGACCGCGCCGCTGAGCGCCTGATCCGTCGGGCCCCCTTCGCTCCTCATCGCAGCGTGGGCGAGTCCAGCGTCGGAGGGACATCAGGTCGGATGCTTCTGGCACCCAGCGCCTCATCGCACGCTCGCCGTCGTACTTTTCCCTCCTACCTCCTCCCATTTCCGTCCTCCGTGGCTCTTCCCTCCCTTTTCCGTCCCACCCTCTTTCCTCTTGCGTCCTCGCCGTCCTCCTCGTCCTCGTCCTCGTCCTCCTCCTCGTCCTCGTCCTCCTCCTCAGAGTCTCCAGAGTCTCCTCCTCCTCCTCCTCCTCACCCTCCAGTCCTACCTGCCTCTTTTCCACCCGCCCTCCATCCTCCATCCGCGCTCCTCGAAGGAGGTGCCGCGGGACTGACAGGGTCAAATCGCCCGCGGTCCAAGTCTTCCCCCTTCGGAGGCTGCCGGCGGTGACCGTGCCCAGGGGTCTATAGACCCTTCCCCCGGGACGGGTCTTTCACCTCGGGGCTTGTTTTTGGCGGTCCAGGGGCCCGGCAAGGGCTCCCCGATGCCGCAGATAACCGAAAACTTCGTTGTGATTTTGTCGCGGGCAGGCTTTCTCAGAAGGCTCGGAAGGCCTCCAGCCATTTGAGAAATTCTTTGAGCCTTCTCCGCCGAGGGAAAGAGAGAGAGAGAGAGAGAGAGAGAGAGAGAGAAAGAGAGAGAGAGAGAGAGAGAGAGAGAGAGAAAGAGAGAGAGAGAGAGAGAGAGAGAGAAAAAAGGGAGACGTCTCCTCACAAGGCTGGAGGGCTAACCGTGCCGCCTTCTGAGAAGGCTTGCCCCCGTCTCACTTCCCTGAGATCCAACGCCGTGAGCAAACATGAAACATCATAAAACGTGACCGCAGCCCTAGATCCCATCTTTCTGCCCCAGTTTTCAAGGGGCGGGCCTTGCCAGAAGGTTCGCACATTCCCCAGCCGCCTGAGAAGTTTTATAAACCATATGCGGAAACACAACACAGACAACTTTTCGGAAGGCCGGAGGAGTTCTGAGAAGGCCTTCTCCTTCTCACTTCCCCCCCTCGCTCCCCTGGTGGGGGTGGGGACTGTTTTCCTTGGGCGCGAATTGATGGGGGGCGACACATGGGGGGGCAGCGAGTGCTGCGGACAAAATTGCCCCTCAGGGCCCCTGCAGGGGCTCTTTAGGACCCAAGAGGGGCTTTCAGGGCCCGAAAAAGGCACCTCTGACGTCCGGGAGGCACCAGGCGAGAGCAGCTGCGTGAGCTGTGATTCGCCAACCGCCCCTTTGCCCAACTTCTCGCAAGTTCCTTCAAGGACGGGTCACAGAGCGAGGTGGGCACGAAGTCTTCGTTTGTCGACGGCCTCGGGGCCCCGAAGCGGCCGCTGGACGACGAGGGCTGAAAACAAGCGGGCAACTTCTCCCCCCGCCCCCCTTTTTCCAGAGAGGAGCTCTCAGCATCGCTGGCTCCCAGGGGGGGGCCCTCGGCGTGCCGACGGGCGCGGGCGGGGGGGGGGGGGCCGCCGCGGGGGCCGGCGGGGCCCGCGGGGAGCGGCGGCGCCCCGCGCCGAGGCGGCCGAGGCGGCCGAGGCGGCCGCGGCGGGCCGGGCCGCGGAGCCCGCCGCAGAGCCAGGGGCGCGCCGCGGCTAGGATTAAATCGGGTCTGTCCCTCTACAGGAGGAGTGTTCAAACATAGTGTTATATATATATATATATATACACATGTATATATACACATATATATAGAGACATATTATCCTTTTCATATAGATAGAGAGGGAGAGAGAGAGAGAGAGAGAGAGAGAGAAAGAGAAACTAAGTAAAAAACATGTTGAGTATTTTTGATGATTTTTCTGTTATGGTTTTTCGTCCAAAATCCCCCTCTAGGGGGACACGCCCGACTTCTGGCTAGGAGGCGCCCTGCCAGCGGCTCCTTCGCCACTGGGTGGCACTTTGGCCAGCGGCTCCTCGTGCCAGTGCACCAAGTGCCACTGGCAGTGTGTGTCGGCCACGCGCATCGAGGAGAGAAAGCGGCATGAACATAAACTTTCGGAGTTCCGCGCGGATTTCTTGGATCCGCGCCGGGCCCCCCCCCTCTGGCGGCGCCTCCGGCGCCGCCTCTGACGCGCTCCGCGCGCCAGGGAGGGGGGGTCCAGCGCAGATCCAAGACATTTGTGCGGAGCGCTGAAAGGTTATGTTTATGCCGCTTTTTGTTCCTGTAGTAAGGGCAGTTCTAGGCCTCCCAGGTGAGGTCGAAGTAGATGGGGTCAGAGAATCGCGCCGCATCGCCGATGCATCGCCGATGCGGCTCGATGTGGGGCCCTATTTGCTGCACGTCGACGTCGCCGATGCATCGCGCCGACGTCGCTAGTGCATCGCCGATGCATCGCCGATGTATCGGCGATGCGGCGAGATCCTCCGACCCCATCTATTCGGACCCCATCTAGGAGGTCTCTAGCAGCGTGTCTGCCACGCGCAAAGGTCGACTACACGTGAGAGTGACGTTTCGCCAGAGGTGACCTGTGGTGCGGGCCCACGTAGGGTCCCCCGAACGCCTAACGCGATGCGGCAGTCGTTAGCGTCTTGCGTGTTTTTGTTTGGTTCCCCGCGACCCCAAAAGAGCCGCGCACGAAAGGTCACTTTTACAAAGGGTCTCTCTTGCGTGTAGTCGAAGAGACAAGGCCCGCGCCTTGTCATACAAGGCGCGGGCCTTGTCTCTGAGCATCGAGTGATGAATTCGAGCATCACGTGAATCTCGGTCTGAATTCCGTTTCTGGCAAGGTAGTTGCATGCACAGTTGAGCACAGGAGGGGGAGACGGGTTTGCAGCAGCGCTTCCCCACCTTCGCAGCAATGTGCCTCAGGGGCCGTGCCAGGAGGCGGCAGAGGTCGGCCACGCGCAGAAGGAAGGCCTCTTAGAAGCACCCCTCTGAGCTGCCTCGATGCGCAAGTTTTGAAACGCCACACGTACCGTGTTCAAAGCTTCCATGTTGACGCGTTCGGTGGCAAATCCTGGGAGCCTGGTATGCCCTCTTGATTCTGTTCTTAGCGTCGATCAGCGTCTGGGAGTCGATGAGATAGCGCCGATCCAGCGTCGGTTAGCGTCGGTTTAGCGTCGATCAGCGTCGATTAGCGTCGATTCAACGTCGATCAGCGTCGATTCACAAGAGCCGACGAGATGGTATGGGAGGCTCCCATGGGTTGCCGCCGAAGTTGCGTGCTCGCTCCGTGTGCTGGCCCATGGTGTTTGGGCGAACGTGCCGCGCCGGGCGTACCTTTCCCGTCTGCGTGCTGAGCTCCGTCTCGAGATACACCCTAGGCGATGCTTAAGAAAACCTAAGTTTTCGGCGAGAGTCTCGATTATTCTTAATGCTTCAATGTAAATCCTAAGATTTGAATAGAAGTTCTGGGTTTTTATTCAAATTCTGAGACTCTGAGTTTCTTAACCCATGATTTCTTAAGCATTTCGCAGGGTGTACGCTGCTTGCTGCGTGTTGCGGATCGGGGCAGCTGAGCTTCTCAGAGGCGCCTCCGCTTCTCAGAGCGCGCGGGCCTCGTCTCCTGCCTCTTAGAGGGCGCGGGCCTCGTCTGTAGATTCAGAGGCTCTTGGAGCCGGCCGAGGGGCCGAGGTGGCCAGCATGGGCCGGCCGCTCGCAGAGGGGGGCACGGTCGGGCTGCCGAAGAAGGAACCCTTTTTTCGTTGGGGAGGGGGCCCAGTGTTCCTTCTTGTTTTGCGGTTTGTCTTAGGTTTCCCTTAGGTCTTCTTCTGTGAAGCGAGGTGTAACTTGTGGAAAACAGGGGCCTCGTTCCTTGCATAGGGTTCCTTATGACAGCGTCTCCACTGTGCGGGGGAGGGGGGAAGCTTGTCAGAAGCACCCCTGCTTCTGCGGAGGCGCGGGCCTCGTCTGTAGATGTAGGGCCGGCGCCCTCCAAGAAGCGGTATCCTTCGAAGTGGCCTGGGGGCTCGAGAGACGAGGGTCCATGCCAACGGGGCACAGCCAGAGCGCGGGATCTTGCAGGATCCTGCAGAGCCAGGGGTGCACTAACCCGGGCTTGCGTGCAGGATCCTGCAGGACCACTCAAAGCTCGACTGGCCCGTTTTTGGATTGACCCGGGTCAGTGCGTCCCCGATAGGAGGCAGTCGAGGAGGCTTCATTAGTTTTCGATTTGCCTAAGTCGGCATACATTTTTTTTCGAACGCCACAAGCATGCCTTCAGGTCCGCTCACTGTCAAAAAGGAGTTGGAGGAAGAGGAGGAGGAGGAGGAGGAGGAGGAGGAGGAGGAGGAGGAGGAGGAGGAGGAGGAGGAGGAGGAGGAGGAGGAAAAGGAAAAGAGGAGGGAGAGGAGGGTGGTGTGGTGGTGTTGGGTGTGGGAGTTTGAGAGGAGGAGGCGGAGGAGGAGGAGGAGGAGGGGGGAAATCGAGAAGGCGACGCGCGAACACGAGGGCAAGATCGCTCCCCCCTCGTAGGCTCTACTAGGTTGTCCTCAGCGAGGAGTCGTGCGCCGTCCGCTAGCCTGGGGCTCTGCTCTCACCGTCGGACGGGGTCCTGGTGGGCGTGATCGCCGTGAGCCCTCGACCCCTGGCGA